TGTTCCAAAATCCATCTAAATAAAATAATTTAAATTTTTAAATAATTAAATTAAATAAAATATTATTCAAATTTAATCAAAACTTATTGAATATAATAGTTACAATAATGCTTTTTGAAAGACATAATAATTCCAGCATCCATTGGCTATATTCTTGAAGTTGTATTTGAAGGTAAAAAATAAACATTAACATATAAAAGATCTAAACCTTCAATTTTATGACTTCTGCAATTATCCAATAACAATAAAACATATTGTCCATTATATTTTATTGTAACCTTTTGATCAAAATTACAAAGCCACTCTTGAAATAAAGTGGTAAGCATCTAAGCTTTAGAATTATATCAATAAGTTATTGGTAAATTATGAATATTAATTGTTTTAAAACATCTGGGATTTGCATATTTTCCAATAATTAAAGGTATTAATTTGTGTGATCCATCTGCATTTGTACATAATACTATTAAAAGACATTCTTTATTTTTTTTATGATCAGAAAGTCTACGAGTTACTAATGTATAATCTAGTTCTAACCTTTTAAAAATAAAATAAAATAAAATAAATAAATATTAATAAATTTATAAAATTTAATAAAATTTAATAAAGTGAAATTATATTTTAACGATAATAAAGACCTGTTTCATCTATATTATAAATTCGTTCAGAAGAATAATCTGCATATTTATTTTGTAATAATGGAAATGTCTCTTCAATAAAAACTTTATTTGCTAATGCTGCTTCACTTTGTAATTTTATTTGTTGAATTTTATTACATTTTTTAAAACCATATAACCAACCAGAAGAAAATAATAAAGTATTTTCAGGAATACCTAATCCTGTTACTAATAATTTTGCCTTTTCAATTAAAATAGAATCACTAAGAATAACTCTATGTTGATAGTTTAAAACAAATTCCTTAAGTGTCAATTCAAGTTTAGAAAATGTTACAGATTTATGTTATTTTTATGTTAAATTAATTTGATCATTAGAAAATCATTTTTCTTTTGTTTGTAAAATTTTTGTTATAGTACTTTTATTAATCCTTACTCTTCATTTTTGTTTCACCTATTCTATATATTCAGATCTGATCTTTTTATTATTGTTAGCATAAAGACACAATTTATATTTTTGAGTACTAGTTAATATAATCTTTTTTTTATTGAACTCATTTGGTGATTCAAAGATCTAAAATTTTTTTTATATTTTAAAATTATAATTTAATTAATTAATTATTTTAAATCTTAATACATAAAAAAAAAAATCTAAACTCTTATAATTACAAATTGGTGAAATGTTGAAATAGTAAAAATGGAAAAATGGTAAAATGACAAAATAACAAAACAGTAGGCTCTTTTTTTATTTATTTTATTTATATTTTTTAAAAATAATTAATTAATTTATTTATTCTTTAACAGAAAATAAAAAAAATAAAATAAAGAATAATACTTTAGTTACAAATTGGCAAAATAGTAAATCACATAATGGTGAAGTGACAAAATGACAGAATGTTAAGTTTTTTTTTTATTTTTATATTCTTTAAAAATAATTGATTAGATTTTTTTTTTGATTTCAATTATCATTTCACATGATTTAAAATCACATGGATGTATTTATCAAGGGAATGTTAATATAAACGGGGTCAAAAAATCATTGCACTGTGTAAAATAAGAGAGGTGCACTTAGTTATTATTCCTCAATATGGGATTGGATTAAAGGGTACATTTAAAAAGAGATGCACTTATAGAAGGTACATTTATAGAGGGTTGCTTGTAAATTAATTTATATATTATAATTTAAATTCAAGATAAGTTTACTTAACAAACTTCAATAAAAGTAAATATTAAAACTCATAAAAAATCAAAAAACAGTAAAATTTAACAAGTTATTGCTGAATAAATAGTTGTAGATAATTTACCACTTAATATTCTTCAAGAGTAGGGATATAAAAAAATGATGTCAATTGTAGATCTAGCTTTTCAAATTCTATTAAACAAAAGAATGAAAAAAATAATTATTAAAGAATATCAGAATACAATCGTGATTTAAAAAAATTAATTATTAAACTTGTGAGACAGCTTCTTTAACAACTGATTTTTGGACAGCAAAAGGTAAACATGAATATATTGGTATTACTCTTTATTGATTATCAAGTAATTTTAAAGTATATGATTGTCTTTTGTGTATGGAACAAATATCATATCCTCATTCTGAAGAAAATATTTCAATATTTTTATAAGAAAAAGTAAAAGAATTTAATTTGGAAATTAAAATTACATGTGTTATAACTAATAATAGTTTCAATATAATTAAGGCAATTAAATTATGGGATAGAGTTAAACATTTATCATGTGCTACTCACACATTGTAACTTTCTATTAATCATGTTTTTAAAAAATTAAATATTTATATTAAGTATATTAAATAATTGGTTAAATTTTTTACTAATCACTAAAACAAAGTGATAAGACTTAAAAAAAGTATAGTTATCAAAATAATAATGATGATTTTGATAATAGTAATAATGATAATAGTGATATTGAAGATAATAATGAAAATAAAGATGAAAACAATAACAATAATAATAATAAACCTGTTTTACGAAATATAGTAGATGTTAAACTTGATGGAATTCAAAATATTATTCATGGCAATGACTTTTTAAATTACGTAAAGTTATTAAGTAATTAGGTATAACTTTACTATTATCTGATAATCCAGATGATCATGCAGATGGTTACAAACTTAAAAATTTATTATTGAAACCTTATAAATAGGATTTGTTAAAGCAAATTATAAATTTATTAAAACCTTTTAATGATGCTACTACATATTTTAGTAGAACATTATATGCAATATTATTAATAATATTTCTGTAATACAAATACTTAAATATAATTATATCTATATATTATCAAATGAAAATAATAATAATGATAATAATAATGAAAATAATAATAATAGAGATAAAAATGATAATGAACAATATAATTATATTTTTATATTATTTTATTTTATTTTATTTATTATTTTAATTAATTTTAATATTATTTTATAGATATATCAAATTTTATACATAAAGAATCATCAGATGATGATAGTGATGGTAATGAAATACTAATTCAGATAGTGATCTTGATACTCCTGAAAATTTGCTTTAATTAAAAGAATTAATAAAAAAAAACTATATATGATTCACTTTTTATTATTGGGATCAACCATCAATGATTAGTCTTCTTGCTACAATTTTAGATCTACAACTAAAATCTTTTTCTAATTTGGATGATGATATTCAAAAAAAGGTGAAAGAAGAATTAAAATTTCAATTATTAAATTTAAGAAATATACAAGGAACAACTTTAATTTCAAATTCTAATACAATAACATCTGATTTTCAACATGGCCACTTACATATTTCAATATTTGAAACAAATACTTCTAATATAGTTAATTTAACAAGTAAATTAGAATTTTATTTAGATCCTATGTATACACTTATTGCAAATTATGATATAGATCCATTTAAATAGTAAGTTGAACAAAAAATACAATTTCCAAACTTAATTATATTAGCCAAAAAATATTTATCAATTCTTACATCATCTGTACCTAGTGAACATTTATTTTCTGATGCAGGAAATCAAATTATTATCAAAAGAACAAGTTTTGATTCAAAATTAACCAGTAAAATGATGTTTATGAAAATAAATTTCAAATTTATTCAACTTTATTAATAATATTTTAATAATTTTTAGTGTTTAATATAATATTTTTTTAATAAATATAATAAATATATATAATAAATAAAGGAAAATATTAAAAAAAATAAATTTCATAATGTAATTATAATTGTTATTAGTTGTTACATTTAAAACCTTTTAATCTATAAGTAAATATTAAAAACTATGATAAGTTTGCTTATCACAGTTTTTAATATTTACTTATAGATTAAAAAGTTTTATATATAGCAACTATCAATAATTATTTTCGATTGTAAATTTTGATGATCAGATCTATTTCACCTGGTTTATACTTCAAACCATGTGAAACCAGGTGAAATCAGATGAAAAAAAATTTTAGAAAATTATCTGGGTTCATCCAGATATTCGATTTTAAGATCATTCAGATATCTGGATGACTTATTGGAACGTGGTTCCAAGTCCTATGTAGGTGTATTACAATTAATCCTGAATATTGACAATAATACTAATATTTTATATAATAGAGTTACACTATTAGTTGCTAATTGGCCAGAATAGTTATTTATATATAAAGCAATAACAAATTTATATAAAGATAATTCACAATATTCAATACTTTTCAAAATTAATTTATATTTATCATCAGTAATTATATTAATTCGAAAACCTTCGAAATTATATCACAACATTAGATTTTAAAGGTTATCAATTGTGTCGCAACCCTTTAAAATCAAAATTTAATAGTTAAATTTCGATACGTATTATTTTGTTATTGAAAACTTTCAAAGTTTAATGCTAAATTTTTTAATGATAACGTAAATTTTCGAAATTCAATAGCTACCATTTTAACATATTTTGTTTCAGGTTATTATTTTCAGATCACTTCAAATTTAATTATTTTATTGTAATTCAATATATATTGTAAAAAATTTCATTTTGTAATATTTTATTACTTTTGAATTTTTATATAATTTATTATTATTTTTATTATTAAAAGATGATAATAAATATTTTATAATTTTTTTTTTATTTTTCTATACATTTTCATATGATGACACAATAATATAAAGTAACTATTTTCTATATAATTCTTAAATATGATATAATTTTTTATTTTTTATAATATTATATTACTAAATATTTCTTTTATCTTTATTCTTTTATAAAGATAATAATATTTTAGCTTTTGTTTTGTTTTTTCGTAATTTTACAAAAGTTTGAAAGATGTTTATTTACCTTTTTGAGATTTTTTCAAATTTCTTTCAA